CACTGAAGCAGCATAGTTCCCAGCTGATCAGTAGTCGCAGCTCTTTTCACCGTCGACAACCTACTTATGAATTTGGAAATATTCCACTAACCATGAAGAACTCTCAGTCTTTGTCTTGTGTGTTGGACCAGTGCCGTGCAAACTGCCCCAGATCATGCGGAACACTTATTTGGGACCGGGAGAAATTCCATGAAGTGGTCCCGCGGAAAGGGACACCAATCTTCCACAGATTTTTAAATTAGTTGTTTAAGGACTCCCAAAGGCAAGAAAAAGTGCCTGGTCATTGGGGGTTGTGTCACAGTGACAATCCTCCCAGAAGGCCGATTAAGTAACCTGAAAAACTACCGACCGATAGCCCTTCTGTCCTTATATTTTAAAGTAATGAAATCGTCAATTTTCGTCGGGTTGAATAACCTCTAGACGACTAACTTATTTACGCCCAAACAATATGGATTTAGAAAACGGTATTCTTGCACCATCACCTTACTCACCGTAGTGTATAAAAGAACTAGCATTGTCGAACTACGAGGCGGAATTGAAATAATTTATCTGGGCCTTTCTAAACCCTATGACTGTGTTATTCGTAGATGCCGTATCGACGGATTAGGGTTAATTAGTATCTAACCGGCGCTCATTGAGTGGTTGTTCTCATATCCCCGCAGCCATTTACTAAGGGTTCAGGTAAGTTTTCTCATGTCTTTAGAAAGAAGTGTCCGAGTGGAGTTCCATGAACTTCAGTGTGGAAACCTTCTCTCTTAGTAATACGCATAAGCGACTAGCCTCTGCAAGTTTCTTCTGAAACACTTCCTTTTGCCAACGATAGGAAACTAGCAAAAAAATCAAAAGCCAGAAATATGGTGTCTCCCTACAAGAAGAAATGACCTGATCTGAAAACCGGGCAGTCAACAACAAGTTTACATTCACTCCCGAAAAATGAAAGTTTTTACGCCTAAACTATGACGCGTATCATATGTATGGCTTGACAGCATGGAACCTGAGGCGCAATAAAAATTGAAAAGGATTTGAGAGATTTTATTCCTTAGGGCCCGAATCCTTGCCAGTTGTGACAAAATGCATTTTGTAGAAACTCGGCTCCAGTAAACCTTAGATGAAGTTTCCCGCATTTTAATCTTAGGTGTTTCTACAAACCTGGAAGAACGCTTCTATGGATTTACCCAAAGCTTGAAACTATACTCTTCACTCCTCCCAGCAAAAGAAAAAATTATGTCCAGAATACATCCGGAGCGGAACAACCGAATCTGTCCAGCGGCTAAGGTTCGAAACATATGAAGGCCAACCAGTAGAGCTTTGTCCATATCTGCTAGAAAGCGGAAGACAGAAGGCTTACAACGTCCTGGACGTCTGGAAACACCCATTACGTCACCCAAAGAGTTGCCGAATATTGGAGCGTTCTGCTTATAATAGTACTCCAGGCTACTCGGTCGCAATCCGCCGAACGCCTACGTAACATTTAGCTAAGGTGTGGGTAGGAGCTCACCCAATACCAACCCGCTTTTCCTGTTTTAGTTGCAATCCTCTTCTTTCATCGTTTGTCCATGGGTTAACAGCCAACTGAGCCTGGCGTTCTCTGACTGGGGGCACAGAAATCAGTTAATCGAAAGCTTCTATTCTGTTACCAACCATCTGAAACCACTTGGTGTCTGTGTAGTGACAGTGGTTCGCGCATATGCAGTTGGGACACGGATCACGCCTAAGCGGTCGGCCGGTGGCGTATCGGTCCAACACTGTCGCCTACATTCTGATTACCTGCCGACTCTTTTTTCCTGAATTTGCTGAGGTACTTCCCCCTAATCTAATCTTCTTTTCTCTTAATCTTTCTCATTTGTGTTGCTGGATCATCTTTTGAATTTCCCCACCATTCTCTTACCGCAAGTCCTTACAGCTGTCTGGAGTCATGGAATCTAAAAGACATATCCACCTCTTTGACACAGTAGAAATCCTGCATCTTCCAACAAAAAAGTTACGCCCACCCACCCATAAGGTTTACCCGAATCGCGGTAGTTGAGTGAATGGACCCAGTCTGTCGAAATCCGCCAAGCATCTCGAATCGTTCTGCAGGCCTAAGATACTGGCTTGAAGAAATTAACTCGTATATATGAGGTCATAAAGTAGATACTGATGCTGAACTGGACACTCGTTGTGAGTTGTTGGTGCTCTCTCATACTTAGGATTTCTCCACACCAGGAAACCCTCACTAGTAATGCCCTGCCAATTATGGCCAGACTTTTTCAACGCTCCCCTAGCTGCACATACTTGACTGGTCACCACGCCTCTCAACTGCAAAAAGTGGGTGAAATAGTTCTTTGAAACAACCAACCTATCACCTGTCAATGGTTCTCAAACGTTTCGACCGCCTTGACCCTCTTTTTCCCTCAGGAGTCACTTCCCAAGAAGCAGTTTCCCCGCTTCAATAAACACATTAGAGGGTCACGGTTGAGGTCGTTGAGGAAATGCAGAGGATCAGGTGACAAGTATCTGAAGGTAAGCCAAAGCAGGTTGTTTCCGTCGTAGGTTCCGCCCCTCCCCCACTTTCAGTCTGCGATCTCCAAGGGCAAGAGGCAAGGGAAATAATTAATGAGGCCATCAGTCATAGCGCGCCACAGGTGACACAACGACCGTCGGCGAGAACCTCAAGACTAAAGCGTGGTACGAAGGGACCAATTAGGAGCAGGAAGTGGGCTGGGTTCAAATGCCACTAACGACGTAGGGAGTCGGGCCTCTTAAACCGCTGAAGAAGTCGCGACCACTTCAACATATAAGCCCGTAGCAACAGGCTTAGCCACCGAAGAAACCTGGAGTGGTTACTAAGCAACCCCGAAGCCTGTACCGCTTTTTGACAAAAAGAAAATCAGCCGACAAGGTAGTAAATTTCATCACAGGTCCTAATTAAGATGTGCTAAGCAGTTTCAAGGTAGCTGAGCTTCTGGGCTCAAGCTCTGAAGAGCAACTTGGTAGTTCTGATGGAAAGTCAGCAGCGGTGCGATACACCGCTGATCAGGACGTAAATGATGAGTGCCCCTGCTGCATCCCCATCACACAGAAAGATGTGCCGGAAAATCTGTCCAGCCAAATCCCTTGGCTGCAACGGCCCGGAGAAGGCAAGCCCAGGAGGCTGCCCCATGCATTCGCGAAAGACGTTTGCTATTACTCCAAGCGATTGCTGAAGTCAGCTGTCTACAGCGTGAAAGTGTCCAAACTTGCTACCCATCTCCAGATGAAGAGACATTTGACGTTCCGGTCAATAAAAGTCGATTTCCACACCCCCTATACTATATAAAGTATTAGAAACCCTGATAATCGAAGAGATCCAGGAGTTCCGTAACAGGGAAAACACCATCCGTGTTGCTCAATGTGGCTTTTGGAGTGGTCGTTGATGTACCACCAACCTGCTGATTGCCTGGGATGACTGGACTTTTAGCTGGGAAAATAGAAAACCAGTGCATGTCATTTTTATCAACGTAGTTGGAGCATACGGTAGTCTGTCGCAGGAATCTATTCACAAGATCTCATCATCTGGCGTAGACGAACTTATACTTCCCTGGTCCGAAACGTGCCCAGGAGGAAGACAGTTCTGCACAAAAGTGAACAGAATGCGGTCGAACTGAATGTCACCAATGTCAGGTGTGCGCTTGGGAGAAATCCCGGCTGCACTCCCTTTGCTGCTGTTAGCCAACGATCTTGCGTACGAAATCTCCTCACCCATCCTCCTCTCCTCTGATGACACTGAAATTTGGAGCATAGTTAGCGAAGAGGCCGGTTGTACAGTACTCCAGGATGATCTGCAGCTACTTGAAGTTTGATAGTCAGGAAACGGCTTGGGCTTTAGCCTGAAAAGTGCATAGTAATGCCCATCACAGCTCACGAAGCAAGGACGACCGAATTCCAACGCAAGGTAGGCAGCCGCGCTATTATAGTGACCCCGGACGAAAATTTGGGTTTTAGCTTCTCCGACACCCACGGCACTAACTGTTACTAGAAGGAAATGGGAGCCGCGGCGAACACTACCTGACACTTTCTGCGGAGGCCGCTTCGTGCTCTCGGCCCGAAGCATTTCTGACGGTTTTTGAATCGCATTTACGGCTGCATACGGAAGTCTTCAGTATGATAGCACCCTTAGTACTCAATAGAAACTCTGATCTTCCTGATAAAATACAATAATCTGCAACAAAATCAGTCGTGTAACTAAGAGGAAGGGATATTCTAAAACTCTGGAACGCATAAAAATCCATTCACCTTAGGCTGCGGCAGAAATAGGGTGATGATTCTGTGACCAACAAGGTCATCAAGCAGGTAAATAACGCAGACAAACTGGCCCTACGTGCAACATGGTGGTGGTCATGAGAAAAACCCATTAAGATTGCTTGCAAGGACCAAGTCCTTTTTTTGCTCTTTAAGAATATGTGCTTTGTGGAATGCTGTGCTGCGGGATGTAGTCGAAGCCCCCTCCCCGGCACAGTCATTCAAAATATGGTTGGACAGTTACGTAACTCCGCATGACTTGCCACAGATGCACTCATGGGACTACTGATCTCACCAGCCCATCACATCTTCCTTCCTTTCTATCACTCCAATTTTCTCATTGATACACCTTCATCACCCGCCAACTCTTCACCAGAAACTCTACTCAGGCCAAAGACCTCTGCGACCATCGAAGTAGTACAGCCGAACATAAAAAATCAAGCCTCGAAACCTAGAAGCGAGAGCTCAAAAACTGCAAGTTTCCTCTACTCGCACTATTGATGTTGGATGTTGTTGAACACAAAAATAATTCATCTCACCGGAGGTAAGCAGAAGAGATTTTTCTGTCCACCGGGAGAAAAAACCAGACAGGGTGAACTAAACTCCAATAAATGGACGCGAGAGATCAAAAACTATCAGTTTCCTGCACTCACACTATCAGTGTTGGATTTTTTTTGACATTGGATATTGAGCGTTTGTGTGTACGCAGTAATTTAATCAGTGCGGTGCATTGTTGGATAATGAATATATGTGTCATCTTGACCATTTTATTTGCTAGTTTAAACGTGTTTTGCTGTAGCAAGATCACTGAATACATTTACAGTTATGTACCCTCCGCTCTAACATCATTCTGCACCCGAAGGTTAAATCTTACAGGGCAAGTTGGCTGTTCCAGTGATATCAGCGGAAATTCTGGAGTTGCTGTATTCATAGATGGGTCAAATGATGTTCTGGATAGCATAAATTCAGACGTAGTGACTCCTTTTATCATAGTCCTGGGAACCAAAGAGTTTACCAACTCTTCCTTGACGCAATATTTCCGTTCGAAACAAAATATCAAGGGTCTTGTTGTACTCTCCAGTAAGACAGAGGACTTCGATAATTATGCGTTTTCTGAGTCTTCAACATGTCCAAATGGTCTATATAGTGCCTACAAATGGTCTGAGCAATGCGGCAATGGCACACAGTGGAATCCAGCAGGGTCGGGATATTCGTACATCAGTTGGCCGTTTCCTGTTGTTCATGTAGCTGATGTCAACAACACTATCAAAGTATTTTTCAGTCTTACTTTTCGTCTTATCCTAGGATGCCATTTATGATTGTTTCTCAAAGTTCAACGTAGTACCTGTGGATGACACAAGGTGCTCCATTGAAATTAGTAATCCCATGTCAGCCGTTGGATCTTCGGAAACTTGCTTCCGTCGGCAGTATCTTATGTCACTCCATATATCGGAGGTATGCTGTCACTTTCCTTTGAAGTATTGTATTATGTCATAAGACTGCATCGCCTGAAGGCCTTCAGGCTATGTAGCTAACTACATGTGATGTGTGAACTTTATCAAGAAAAGCGAAAATGTCTGCGATGAAGATTATTTATGTGATGAAATTTCATTTTATGAACTATTAAAAGAGCTTTGTTCTACTTATTTATCTATATACGTGATAAATGTGCTTTCATTTCCTGAAATCTGAAGACAGCCAGGAGAAGGTGTAGCGCCTATCTCTGAGGTCTTTCACTCTCTTTCTGAACAATTTGATGTGGGTCAGGCTGCCTAACTGGGGTAAAGTAGAAAAATCGCATGTTTGAAAATCGTAGATACATGACTCAAAGTTGGTCATAATGGTACAGATGCATACACTTCTGTCATCTTTGAAATTTTGAACACTTTTGCTAACGTTGTTTTGTTGACCTCCTCTTCTACCACACAATTTAGTTCACTTAAACGCCATTCTTCATCTCTTCATTCTTTCTTTACGTGTTACTATGGCTTGCTTGTCTTTTTGAATATAGTTGAATGAGAACTTAGTGTGGTTGGCTCTGTAATAGACCAGAGTTGACAATGAAGTTAGGTATGCCACTTTTGAATGCATGAGTCAGTTGTACTCGTATGGACGCCCATGGCTTCAACTTTGCCGGAGAGATGTGGAAAAGTACTTGGAACTTGATGTGGCAGTGACTAGTTGACTCATCTGAATATTATCGTTAAATGAGAGTAAACAGTGCCACTTAAAGAACTGACTACTCTTTTTTTCAAGTCAAACCGGCTCTGTGAGGAGAACTAAGGTATCTACCTACACCAGAACCGTTAGATTCAGGTGTATATTGGTGGAACCATCATCATCAATTTTCCCTTACTGCTCTGTATAAGTGCCGGTTTAATCCATATTCTAATGTAGTTTATACAAATCGGATCTCTTTCCACTCGATCCACTAAGTCGATGCGTTAGAAAATACCTAATTTGCACATTTTAAATACTCTTTTTTAGATATAGTGTTTTTTAAAGCGAATATTTCCGTTATCGTTACGCTTTGATGCGGATCTGTACTAATTCACTGGGATAGGCATTTTGAAACAAAATCCTATCCCTGTATAACTGCTTGGATTATACCGTCGTTGATTGGATGAGTCCCAAATAGGACGAAATGCGCATCCTGGATTCCACTGATAGACACTATCCATCACTAAAATCGTATTCTGTTTCTCCACTCTTTTGTCTAAAGTTCGTAACCGTTTCTTAGAAAGCAGAATTATTTATTGACTACATTTTAGCGAGTCCAGTACTGATTACAGTTTTAACAAAAAGTAGATAAGCTTTATTCCACACAGATTTGTATGCCTAAGATTGAAAACTACTAGCGGTGGTTAGTTCTGAGTAGTTACCTACAGTATACTACATAATGATTCATTCAACTTCATTACAGATGTTTGTATGCGAGACTTTGAACTACATTTACATTAGATCTTATTATAATATCCTTTCGTCTAGGTGAAAGTGGGCACAGTGGGACTCAGGTCCGGCACACACTACTTAAAACTCGAGTGCCCAACCAAATGTGTCACATTCTCACAATGCTCAGCGATTTCTATTGAAAAGAAATAGTCTGCAATTCCGAAAACAGCTTTTTCGAGTGTTCACGTCAGTTATCGGACCATTATAGATTTCAACGCATCTTATGTGTGAGCATTAAATTTCCGAATGAATTAAAAGGTTATAAGTGTATCTGAAGTTCTAACAAACTATTCATGTATGCACTTTATGATACGGTATTCAAGTTTTTTACTGATTCATATGCCTATGCGTTCAGTCATGGAGTCATTTAGCTTACTGATTGTCGAACTCTGTCACCATTCTATGTGCATTGATTATTAAAATATTTGAAGACTTTGTGAACTAGTTACAGTTGTTTCTCTTAGAAGCATTTGCTTCTAAGCAAACATCTGTGACAATGAGACGTAAAGACTTGCATAGGAGAAGTTTGATCTGTCTCAGTGGACGTGAAACACTTAAATCAATTCCTTGTATCTATCGCACAGGTGTTTAGGTTTGACGTCATCACTGCTCATGAGCCAGCGCTTTGGAAGTGTCAGTTATAAAGTTTTTATGGGCTTTTTGCAACTTTTTTCAACGTTTGTTGATTTGTTTCGAATGACAGCGAGTACAATAGGATTCGTAACTTACCACCGTAAGTGATGAAATGTAGTGGAAATCGCTACTCAATTGGAACTGTAAGCTTTGGTCTGCTTAACGAGTTATTAGGAAGACATTTTCAAACATTGAATTGTTGTCACAGTTCATTTTCGGTGTGGTGTAAGTACTTATTTAACTTTCTTATTTATTAAAACATACTTCAGAATACAGAAATTTTCTGTGATGAACTTACGGGACTAAACATTGTTCTGCTAGCTACTAATTCTTCTAATCACTCATTGGATTATAATGCAATGAATATCAGTACTTGTAATCGGCTTGAAAATTCTTCACTCTTTGTGCTGACAAGAATGGACTCTCGGAGCATGTTTGAACGCAGTGGATTTTCAAGTCAAGGTGTACTCCCAAGTATTGCAGTTTTAATTTCAGTAGCAGCGCATTTGATGGGACAAGAAAACTTAAAAGTTAGTTTAAAACAGTTTATTGACCACAATCAAGTACTTTTTTATCTTCTCTTCCTTAACGCATGTGCCTTACCTGATCATCTTATTGAGCTACGTTTGATAGGTCCAGAGCTATGAGATTTTCACTAAGTAGTTCAATCTGTATGCACCAATGCGTTAAAACTGGCCAGTTTCCAGTAAATACAGGATTAACCTTGGTTTTCATAATTGACTTCAGTCGTTGATCAGTTGTTAAAGCTCGTACTCAATCGTACGTGCGTTAATTACGCAGGTATCTTCAACATGTGTACAATAATTTCACCTGCTTCTCTTCTCAGATGCACATAAAAGGAAAAAAATGTCTAGACAGCAGATAACATGGTGAATCATTTATTTATGTACGTAAGAGAAAAATGAGAATTAGAATATATATGTCTGTTGACTATCCATAACGACTACTTTAGTTATTGAGCTTCTGAAGTGTTAGTTGAATGAAGACAATCGGTGGGAAGTCCTTGATGTAGGTTTTGTGCTTTTTGGTACTCGTTAGCAAGGTGTGTCTGTAGCCTTGACGGAACTGACATCCCATCTGAGACTAGCACCTGCTTGATGGGCACATAGCAAAATGATCGACCGATGAGATGCAATCAGCAGTTAGGACTAGACGATATGAAGTCGCTTGTTCTCCAGTGTGTAAAAAACACTTAATGGAATGATAGCTATCCATAGTTTTTGTTTTTCAACAGTAAACTAGTGTATCATTCGCTCTTTAGAAAATCCCCATCCAATATAATACTGCTGAATCTCATTTTGATAGCTATTTACTCTCTTCACTAAGAATAATGTTTATTGCTGTGAGTTTTCAGCAACATAGTTGAGACCTGGCTGCTTAGCTACAGTATTCACTATCCTGTAATGTTGGGGAGACTGGTGGTTTGTCGCTGTTTCTGTAGTATGTGCTGGATGCAGTGCGTTACTCAAAGTTGTTTGCATTAATATATTTATTCAGTGGGTCATTCGAAGGTCATTTGCTTTTTACTAAAAGCGAAAAATCCTACCAAAATGATGACGTTCTGTGAAATCTTTGAATACATTGAATTCTAATATTTCGCTATCTAGGTTTTGTAGGTTTGAATATAATTGTAATCTGTGAATATGACGTCTATCTTCTCATTTGCTGAACTGAGGAATTCTGATGTTGAGTGTAGAGTACCAAGTTAAGGGAAAGTTCATCATGCGATAAGTCGACAGACTTGGATTGACCTGTTTTGCGCATGTTGAGTCAAAACTCACTTCGATACACAGTTATCTAAACTAGGTTTGACTTCCAACCTATGATACCAAATACTCCACTACAGTGTCACGTCACTTCGCTGAATGGCTGTACTTTGAAAACTTGATCGGTGGGCTGCGTTTACTGCTAAGCACTAAAGTCTAGACAGCCTTATCAATTAACCCACTAATGATCACTTTGTGAAATAGGTTTAAGTTGGAAGTAAGTTAAGAGTGACTAGCCTGACACATGACAAAATAGTCTAAGAAATCAACAACCAGTTAATCATGAGCGTCCCTAAAGTGTCGATCTTTTGTTCTCACTCGCTGACAACCTAATTAAGCCGCCTACACTTTTAAGACCTTGTGAATTTCCACATATTTTGTCAAACACAGTGTCATTGTGCAATGTGTGGCCTAGCGTTCTACCTTCATCTCTCTAAGTCAGCTGATGTGACATTAGTGGTAGTAAGATCAACTGTTATGCAAAAAAAACTCGGGGCAATAATAGGATGAGCGTTGGTTACTTCATCCATTTCTTTAATCAAAGGACCAAATAAGAGACCCATAATTAGGTTAAGATCAATAACAATGGCTGTGCCGTCCGATCAGGGGGATGACAGAAGTGTGCGTTGTTCGGTTTAGGTAATCAACGTATTTGAAACCTGAAATGTCACTGGTGAAAATTGACTAGATGTATTCATTGTATCACGTAATTCCTAGACACTCTCAACTTATTGTGAACACATGCCAGCTTGATTCTACAATGGGGAAAGAAGAATAGTTCACAGCTCTATTCTAGAACATCTGACCGACTATAACCACCTGGTAAGTGCAGAAAACAGCTTTAGTGTCATCTATAGAGTTCGCACAAATCTCACGAAAGGTGTACGCCGAAAACTCCTCCAAACTGCGGAAGCCATGGCAATTAATATTTTGAAACCTGAACTCTGCGTTCAAAAGAAATTTGCCCAGTCACTCGAGTTGGAATGCACATAACCTACAAGAACATTTCTATCTTCAAGAACCTCTTCATTCATATCCTCTCATACATTACGTTCCTCTACTCCTATAATTCTGATTTCCTTTTGCATTCACCATGTTGCATCATTTAATTTAGTAACCAAATATTAGTCCGATCTTGGTAATTCTTCTCATTACTATTTTGGACATTACGTAACTTCTCTTGTAACCGGATTTTTTAATCGTATCTGAACTCCGTTCAAAAATATTTCATGAAACATTTCTTATGTAACAATGTGAATTATATATATATGCCATTGTACAGCTTGAGAATGATATCGCTGAAAAAAGTAACTCTTCGCTAAACGTCTTTTGTTCTACGATTCAATTTTATTTGTTATTTCACCTTAGTTTTCTTTATATGATTACCTTATTTCTGCTCATCTTCTCTTTCTTTGATATTGTAAAGTGTAATGACTTCAATTGCTAAATTTTTGTGAGGCTTGCTGGTCTGACAGATGCTTGCAGAGTGTTTTTGTTATCCCATAGACGTTCTGCATCATATGTCATACCTCCATATCGTGCCTATAATCTGCTTACTGTTCTTTCAGATGTTTATTTGATTCCCTATTTTGTGATGTTGTGGAGGTTTTTCAGTTCTAACGGACTATCTGTACCAAGTATTCTTATGTTTTAAGACCAAAAAAGGTATGAAAAGGCATGTGAAATTTTAAAAGAAACCTCTAAATTTGATTGGTTTGGACCAAATGACTATAAACATCGTGCTAATATGCTCAAGTTTAAACTTAACAACTGTGCAGATAACTGTTTATATGCTTAACAGTCATTATCAGATTCGAAGTTGAAATCTAGAGTTTTGTTGCTCCACTACTACCCTACTGATTTTACCTTTTCTACATGAACAGGGTTAGAACAGATCAGCTCCGAGAATAGCACACCCGCGTCTGCCTTTAAACACTTCGGTATCGGCGCTACGTGTTTTCCGGCTGGATTAATACCAGCCGGAAATAAATTTCTGATTTTCAAACTGTCCGTGTGTGACCGACCTCAAGTAAATGTTCTATGGTTTCTGCAGTCGCTTACCACCATTACTAATCCAATTTCTCCAATTACCCCACTAAGAAGTAACCCTTCTATGGTGTAGTCTCCTACGAAGTGTCAATCGCCTTCATAATTCGTCCATTTAAATCACTATGAACAATTACATTTGAACATTAACCTTCCACTAGGATGGGGGACCGTTTACAGCAGAACTCATCCTTCATTTTACGCGAAATAAAGTCAATTTTTGGGTAAGTAAAGATCTCATAAGGACAACGATATGTTCTGAATTCGAACTGCACCATTCACTAAAAGTGTGCAGGCGGCTGTCATTTAGGATCCAATTGGGCAGTGTGTTTTCCCCGTCATGACTTAATACTATACCCACACCTACAAGACCATGCGAAATAAATAGCCATGGAATGTAGAGAAACCCAAAAAAAGAATTTCACATGTTCCCCAAACTGACTGGATGAGGCTAAGTGAAATATAATGCATGCGTTCTTCATGAATACAACCCAAGTCCCTGGCTCAAGGTAATGAAGTTTCCGATAACGAAGCTTTTTATTTGTCTTTACCCATTTTATGATTGCCGATCATATCCACCTTAGTATATCAGTGTCCACCACTTCACTTATTTGGCGAGTTGCATCAGCCCGAACGCCTTTGTTGTTGACAACATCTCAGCTCGGATACGGAAGGCCTGTATGACATTTGTCAGCTTATGTCACCTTAAGTGTCTCCGAGGTATCCATCTATCTATCAAAGGAAGAGTATGCTGCACTGTAGTCCGTTCTGTCTTATTGTACGGCTATGAGACATGGCTGTTAAAGTAGACGATATGAAGCGGTTGCAGGGTTTTGATCATAAGTATCTTCGTAGCGTTACTCGCTTTTAGTAAAATCAGCGTGTGAGTAATCTTGAAGTCAGGCGAAAGGTACTAGGCAAGACAGGCAAGTCGATTAACGAGGTTATGAACCTTAACCGACTGAGATAGCTTAGACATGCACTGCGCATACCAAGCCGCCGCCTACCTCGACGAACCCAAGAGGGTTCAAGATAGCCAGATTAAGACCTGGCACCAGTCGATGAAGTCCATGACTGTTGGTCTGATCCATGTGGGAAGGTGTAGACTACCCTTAGATAAATTGGTTTCTGTTCATTCCATTTAATGTAGTTGAAAGGCTTTAAATGCTACAGTAATCTCATATATATGATTTTGATTTTTATAAAAATAATTTTGTCGTACATTTCATTTTTAATAAAACATTGTAAGTTTCTTACTTCTCAATAAGGTGAAGCATCTTGAACAAGTGTTTAATTGAATTGCTGTTAATTGGATTCGATGCTATAAAACCATTGGTTGAAATTCTGTTAACGCACGGCGACTTGAACTCATTAGTTTATTAGTAGTATATACAGTTTTACTTTACTTATAGTTGCACTTCAAGCCTATTTGATTAGTGATTCATCCGTGAATAAACTTTTTTGACGAACTACTTGCACTTTACAGTGTATTGATATAGATTGTCCCTAATGTCACCTAATGTTATATCCTTTAAAATTTTCAATGAACAGAATTCTGGGTCTGCCAAGGACTTATTCTTTGGATTTTTGGACAATGAAGCTTATGATTTCATGGGATCGTATAGACTTTCATATGATTTAAGTTCTGGAAATATTGGCCGTTATACTGGCAGTCCAGTGATGTGGGATAATGTGTATGGTATTATTGAGTTGGGTGAACTTGGACTTTCTCAAAAACACAGCGATATTCCTACATTTTACATGTTGTCAGACGCTAAAACATACAAACAGGTCAGCATTTTTTTCCTTCAGTACTTTGTTTATTATTTGCTTACAGAATTACAATTTGTTTTGACCAGTAAACTATCTTTAGCGGATTTTTTTTTGTAATTTCTATCTGATTGTTTCCCCAAATATCTTAAGTTGAGTGGTAAGTTAGACATATAGCCTCTTGGCTATATCAGTTTAAATGACCACTTCTCTTGAGACAGAGAATGTGAGTCTGATAGACGGGCAATGATGTGAACAACATAGGATCTTATATAAATGCTAGTGATCCAAGTTGAAATCTCGTCAGTGAATTTGATTTTTTCAAACACTCCATTTCTATAACTTTATCCATTGTCAATACTAATTCATTCCTCAATACCAACCGGAATTATACACGTATTTACCTCGTAGGCCTTTATTGTACTTACGTATAGAATTACCGAATCATTACAAGTTCACCTATGACCTTTTTTATCTTGGATTTATAATGAAGGAGACGGGATAACGACAACAACACACACTATACAACAAGAAGCATTCAACTTCACACTGAATGATGAGTAATTATATTTTAGAAAAACAATGACTATGCGAAGAGGAATTGGACAAGGAGATTAAGTACACATTTTTGGATTCATTTTTGTTTGTTAGTTGAAGTTTTGGTTACTTCCCTGAAGAAGCTCGGATCATATTTCTGTGCGAAACTTAGACAGATGGTGGATCGGCCAGTCAACAGTATTATTTTAAACAGCGAGCTATCTGTATATTAGAAGTAATATTCATCATGGACTGACATCAGGTGGGGAACCATTGGAAATCTGGGAGCACTGGACAGCTGTTTCGTCCTAGTATGGGACTCCCCATCAGTACTCACCCACGACCCGGCTAGTCATCGAACTCAGGGCCTTCAGGTTCCACGGCTAACGCGTTAACCACTCAACCACTGGGTCGGTTTCCAGTGGTTAACAATTTCCAACTTCTGTCAATTCACGACATAGGGCGACCGTCACCCAAGGACTTCAGTTAGCATCCACTTCACTTCCGACTGGTTGACCCCACAGGTCACGGCTTCTCATTAGAGCTTCGTGATATCCATCTGGAAGTAAGTCGCTAATGAGCACTATATATTAGGTATATTTCCCTTTGTTTTTGGTTTCGGTCTTTCGACTCAAGTACAAGTCCATAGTGTTTTCACCGTTAAAATTAGTCGGGTTGGGAATCGACTAGTAATTTATTGAATGTTGGTGGCTGACAGTCGATATCCGTGCATCTTTAGTAGCCATGGCAGTTTACGAATCATAACAGTCCTTGTGATTTTATTTTTTTTATTCCTCTCCGGTGTACGTAGCTATTAGCCGACATAACGAGACTGAACTCATTCATCAAGCAATCTACACTTCTGTGCGTGGTAGGCAATGAGCCATACTTGGCTGCTCGGTAGGTGGGTCGGTGTTCGAAACCCATGACTCACTAGTTGAAAGTAGTCAACTGCTTAAACCAAGCAATGAACCACAGTCGAAATAATACTAGGTTAGAAGACAGCTTAACATGACTAATGTAGTGTAACTAGCTAGTAGCAATTTAACTGATGAAGCGACTGCTTTTTTTTCTGTCTTTAACCATTAAACTTGGGTATTGAAATGTTGACTTTATGTAGGCATATTTTCATTAAATTATTTATTGAAACAAAATATTGATTCCAAGTGTAATTTAACGTCTCTAATTTTTGAATTAGATATAAGAAACTGTTTGTTTGGATTTGTTGCGTTATGCGTAAGTGAATTTTTCAACAGTAGCGGACTCTCTGGAGAAACGATTTCCACGAAGTCGAGAAATTTCAGTAATTATTTTGTTCTACCTTATTGAGATTTATAGTAGCTAACTCTGTTTTATTGGTAATGTTTGAAATCAGACAAGAAGAGTTTCATCATTGAAAGAAAAAGTTGTAAATCGCTTGGTAAAGTAGTTCATAAAACCAATGTCTTAACATTATTGATACTTGAATGTAATGAATATAGAGTCTTACTTGTGATACGCTAAAATGATCACTTAGTTTTTTTTAAACAAAATACTGATTCGACACATTGTACATGAAGCTTTTTCAAATCGTATAGTGTAAGTTTTAATTGCGATTGGTTATCACTGTTACATTGAGATTTGAATACCGTCCTGGTTAAATAAATAATGATTCTACTGTATTCAGGAGTTTTATCTTCCTTTGTAACCTTTTATTATTATTATTTTTTCGTTGTATATAGACTCGAAATTCTACTGATGTTCTTTTCTCTTATCTAACTGCTGCGAGTAATGCCAGTAGGAGAGTTAGCTTAGAACGACCTTCAGATTTATTACAAGCGTTACCATTGCCTCCTACAGCGTCGATGCAACATTACTGCAAACTGCTCCTCATCCACTCAGCCATGTGATGTTGAGTGACCACGTTGGTCCGCCTATTTTGAACAAACATTTTGAAAGCTTTCTTGACACAACATGGCCCCCAACAGATAATCCTACAGCAGATTCAAATCTTTTAGATTTCGCCAATACCTTAGCAGATGCTTTACACAGAGTAAGTTATTGGGTGGTTTAATAATTTGTTTTTGAACAAGAACAAGATTTCAGACTTTTACACAAGATCTAAACTAGTGCTTATCAATAAAGGTTTTGGTTGCATATAAAACAGGTAAATAGAGTAATATGATGCGTAAGATAAACAACTGTGAAATTCAACTGTATTGAGACTATTGAATTGAGATAATTCACAGAAAACACAAGATTGGTCTAACGTGCGTGGACATTAGACACAAGTTGTATTTCCATATTATTATTATTATTATTATTATTATTATTATTATTATTATTCCCTTGGGTTCCTAGTGGAACATAGGGCTTCAGTAGCACGTCTCCAGTGACCTCTGTTCTCTGAGATCTTTTGAACCTGGTTCCACGACAGCCCAGAAGCTCTCATTTCCTCCTCACACGACCTCCTCCATGTCACCCTCGGACGTCCAACTCGTCGCTTCCCATGGGGATTCCACTCGAGCAACTGGCCTGACGCGTGATGTCCTCAGTCGGCCTTCTCAGTGCATGCCCAATCCATCTCCACTTCCTCCTGCATATTTGTTGAATGATAGGTTCTTGGTTGGTTCGTTCCCAGAGCTCCTTGTTGCTTATTCTTTCTGGCCATCTGATCTTCAGTAGCGAGCTAGCGTAAGCAGTTGTTGGTGAATGTCTGTAGTTTATTGGAAATCCCTTTCGTAACGCGCCAAGTCTCTGAACCATATAGAAGCACTGACTTGACGTTGGTGTTGAAAATCCGTATCTTGTTCATTTCCATATTAGGTTTGTTTATTTGATTTATAACACACAGTGATCTAGTATAGTACGATCCGGAATAAAATTGAACAACTGAAATGTAAACTTATGAAGATAGTAAACAGCAGAAACTATGAATTTTTTCCACAAACGTCAGATAAACAAGTAAATAATACTATATCACTGTGTGTTATGAATCAAATAAACAAATCTAATATAGAATTAAGTTCTACCATAGTGCCCAAGTCTTAAACCTATATTAACAAGTTGTATTTGTATAAATCTCAGCAGTTTTTGAAATAAATGATTTGAACATTTCGAATGAAGTTCTGCTCCGTGCTATATATCTAGATAATGTATCGACTTTAGGATCAAAATTTGATCTGATAGAGTTGAATAAGTCGAGCACTAGGTAAATAGATTATAACGGAACAACACTCACTGGGGTGCAGGTACATCCAGCTGACGAGTACCAAATAGGATGAAACGTGCACCCTGATTTCTTCTGCTAGTCACCAAGATCTATGTCACATCATAGAAAATCCGGCAGTATCGAGACATCCGCACAGGAGCCTATCTGCCAACAGAGGTCGAACAATTCAGCCCTGCATAGCAACAGGGAATTACAGGTATCATTGCAACAACTGATACCTGTTGCACAAGAGGTGGCCATTGTGTCCCAGTGGTGTAGTGGACAATGATCTAGCATTTGAAGCGAAGGGTACTGTGTCTGAACCTCAGTAGAAACGACGTCATTCACTAGGGTGTAGGTACAACTAGCTGACGATTTCTAAACAGGACGAAACGCGCGTTGTGGATTTCTCTGCTAGTCATCAAGATCAATATAATGTAACGAAAAAATAATTTTAAAATGCTAATGAGGTAGAAAAATAAATTTAGTCAGAGAAAACGCGAAGTTCAACGAAGATGCCCTTTCGGTGATTTCACTCGCCATAGCTGTACAATCGCAATTTCTACTTTTTTTTGTTTAACTGTTTTTATGATAGTTACAAGAAATATTTACTTGAACCTAGTAAAAGAGATCAAGTTAAATGAAGATTAAAAATTCACAAGTATGATACAAGATGAAAATTAGTCACAAAAGAGTATAGAATCCAGGATAATTAAGCGGACAGAATTTAAAGTTGCATAATATGTAAAAAGTAATTTTAAAGATAAAGCATGATCATCTTCCACTTCACTGCCCTTGATGTAATGATATGAGTTGCAGCAACTCAAACCGTTACGCAGTAATACCTGGTCCTATGTTGATTTGATGATGATGATTAAGGGTAGCTTTAAAACTAATTGAGGACAATAATAAATTATGAAAATATATCATAAAATACAACAAAATGGTGACTAATAAGAGAGACAGAGGTCGATCTATTGTTAGCAACTTACTCAGTCCAACATATCAACAAAGGTTGAACAACTTTCTTTTGCACACATAATTCCACTTTCTCAATCCATATGTCAAGAGCTTCTTACCGTACAGAGAAAGCGGAAGCTCACCATTTTCGGCAAATTTCTCTTCATCCTATAGATAACTTTAAACGCTGAATCAGTTGTGATGCTGTAACCAGTTTTGACAAGGTGTTCAATTTATTGCACTTCTGATGGATCCATTCTCACGGTTTTGCAACCAGGTGGCGTAATCTTCTGTAACCCGTTCAGAAAGAATGCTCATCAAACGGCCTACATACCTGGCTCCACAGGAGCAGGTGAATCGATGAACACATATGGAAGTGGTCAGATGCGGAAGTTCATCCTTCAAGTTACCAGCAAACATTGGACGACTGGAGAATATTATCTTTAACGTTGAAGCCAGGAAAGTTTGCTCTAGCGAGTTTGAAATTCTTCTTTTCAAGATATCAGCAGCGAGGTCACCTTTAAAGCCGAGATTCATGAATAATATCTTCCTTAGAACTGAAATGAGCATCTCTTTTTGCAGTTTGGGTCTTATGTTTTTGTCCACAAATCGTGCTAGATATTCGTTTTCAGCCAGAAACCTTTTGAGAAACATGAGTTCTTCTAAGCTATCAGTGCTGCAGATTCTTCGAATACAATGAGCAAGAGACACGATAAGTGTTCTTTTTCGACGTATAGGTATCCAAATATAGAAATTCAACAGGTGACCATTCCATAAAGGTTTCCTGTAGATAGACCTCCTCAATGTCCCATCATCCCGTCTAGTGAGTTCTACATCCAAAAAATGGAATCTTTGATCCGCTTTCAAATTCAAGTATGAATTTAATTGGCAACTGTTAAATACTTGTAAAACATAGTTTAAATCACAGTCGTCATGGCAAATTACGATGGTATCATCAACATACCTTTTGTACACCAAAACCTCGTCAAATGTTGACTTTAGACTGCTGTTTTCCAAGTTAGATGTAAAACAATCTGTTTCACAGTAGATGACATCGCTGAAGGAAAATTGGATGTTGAAGGTGCATCTGAGCGGCAGTTCTTTTAGGTGTGAAGTAAGTATCCCATTGTGTAAGTGGTTGTTATGAATATATTTGAATAAAAAGCATATCGTCTCTGTGAGTGGCACGTTGGTGAAGAGAGATACTACGTGGAGTAATAACATATGTTTTCCGTTACGTTCAAATCTCTTATGCACTTGATGAATTCGAAAGTGTAACGGAGGGAGTGGAAGCTGATAGAGTAGGCAGAGGAGGATGGTGAAGCAAAAGATAAACCAGTGCAAGGATGAACAACGAGAAGAAGAACTGAGTACAACGTATAAAACACTGGACAAAGAAGTGAAGAAGAGTGCGCGCAAAGATAAAAGACACTTCCACTACACACTAGCGAGTGAAGCAGAACAGGCTGCCGGCTGGTAAGAGAGATCTGACAAAATTGTATCAAATAACCAGGTTACTATATAGCAGAGAAGAGATCAACACACATGAAACCAATAAAAGATAGTGAAGGGAACTTAGTGACCACCAAAGAGGAGAAACAAAGGAGAAGATGGGCTGACCACTTCAAAAACTCTTGAATCGACCTCCACCTACACTTCGTCCAGAAATACCACCTGCAGTCACAGAACTAACAGTGGACACAAATCCTGCAACAAAAGTCGAAGTCCTGAGCTCCATAAAGCTACTGAAATGCGAGAAAGCAGCAGGACCAGGTGGGATCCCGCCAGAAGCACTGAGAACAGACGCAGGGACAACAACGGACATGCTCACACCACACCACTATTGCAGAAGGTGTGGAAGGAAGAGAAGGTACCTGTCTACTGATTGGAAGAAGGGGTACCTTGTCAAACTGCCGAAGAAAGGAGACCTCAGTGTTTGCAAGAACTGGCACGGAATAACTCTCCTGTCCACCCAAAGCAAGCAAAATATTAAGCCGCATCATCCTGGAGAGGCTAGAGGATGCATTGGATTCAAAACTACGACCGAAACACGAAGGCTTCAGGAAGTAGAAATCATGTGCGTACCAAGCTGCAACGCTTCGCATCATCATAGAACAAAGTATAGAATGGCAGTCAACTCTCTACCTCAACTTTATCGACTTTGAGAAGGCCTTTGACAGCGTCGACCGACAAGTAATTTCGCAGTTGCTTCAACACTACCGAAAACCACAAACCTTTGTCAATCTCATTCAACAACCATATGAAGACGCCACATCCCGAGTAATTCATAATAGGAAGCTCAGTGATGCTTTTGAAGTGAAGACAGGAGTGAAACAGGGTTGTCTACTATCACCGATGATATTCCTGATTGTGGTCGACTGGACTGGATCATGCAACAAACAGTGAGGAGCGAGAAGAGGGGGATACGCTGGACTGCGGAAAAGAACCTAGAAGATTTGGATTTCGCCGATGACTTGTGTCTAATGTCACACAAACTTGAAGATCTACAGGCGAAAACCAACAAGTTGGCAGAAGAGGCAGGGCAGCGAAGACGAGACTTCGAGTGAATATAGAGAAGACAGAGGTGATGAAGACACCCAATCAACAAGAACAGCAACAACAAGCTCCAATCACCATCAAGGGGAGAAACTTGAAGGAAGCAGCCACTTTTACCTATCTAGGCAGCATCGTCTCAACTACAGGTGACGGCACAGACGAGGACGTCAAAGTCAGGATCGGAAAAGCAAGACAGGCGTTCATTAGCCTGAAACCAGTGTGGAGATCTTCTGTACTCAGCATAAAGCGTGAACAACATCCGGATATTCAACACCAACGACAGTCAAATCAGTGCTCCTGTATAGTTCAGAGACTTGGCGGGTTAC